TCAGGTGGGGTGGCTGTGTGGGGGCAGGGGTGCAGTACAGTGTGGGGTGGCTGTGCAGGGACAGGGGTGCAGTGTGGGGTAGCTGTGCTGGGATAGGGGGACAGTGTGGGGTAACTGTGCCAGGACAGGGGTGCAGCACAGGGTAGCAGTGCCAGGACAGGGGTGCAGGGTGGGGTGGCTGTGAGGGGACAGAGGTGCAGCACAGTGTGGGGTGGCTGTGCTGGAATAGGGGGACAGTGTGGGGTAATTGTGCCAGGATAGGGGTGCAGCACAGGGTAGCAGTGCCAGGACAGGGGTGCAGGGTGGGGTGGCTGTGAGGGGACAGAGGTGCAGCACAGTGTGGGGTGGCTGTGCTGGAATAGGGGGACAGTGTGGGGTAATTGTGCCAGGATAGGGGTGCAGCACAGGGTAGCAGTGCCAGGACAGGGGTGCAGGGTGGGGTGGCTGTGAGGGGACAGAGGTGCAGCACAGTGTGGGGTGGCTGTGCTGGAATAGGGGGACAGTGTGGGGTAATTGTGCCAGGATAGGGGTGCAGCACAGGGTAGCAGTGCCAGGACAGGGGTGCAGGGTGGGGTGGCTGTGAGGGGACAGAGGTGCAGCACAGTGTGGGGTGGCTGTGCTGGAATAGGGGGACAGTGTGGGGTAATTGTGCCAGGATAGGGGTGCAGCACAGGGTAGCAGTGCCAGGATAGGGGTGCAGGGTGGGGTGGCTGTGCTGGGACAGGGTGAGTGCTGGGACAGGGGCATAGTGTGGGGTAACTGTGCAGGGACAGGGGTGCAGTGTGGGGTGGCTGTGGTGCAGGGTGGCTGTGCCAGGACAGGGGGTGCAGTGTGGGGTAACTGTGCTGGGATAGGGGTGCAATGTGGGGTGGCTGTTTTGGGGAAGGGGTGCAGTACAGTGTGGGGTGGCTGTGCAGGGACAGGGGTGCAGTGTGGGGTAGCTGTGCTGGGATAGGGGGACAGTGTGGGGTAACTGTGCCAGGACAGGGGTGCAGCACAGTGTGGGGTGGCTGTGCAGGGACAGGGTGAGTGTTGGGACAGGGGCACAGTGTGGGGTGGCTGTTCTGGGGCTGGGGTGCAGGATGGCTGTGCAGAAACAGGGGTGCAGTGTGGGGTGGCTGTGAGGGGACAGGATCAGAGTGTGGGGTATCTGTGCAGGGACAGGGGTGCAGTGTGGGGTGGCTGTTCTGGGGTGCAGTGTGGGGTGTCTGTGCAGAACCAGGGGTGCAGCACGGTGTGGGGTGTCCGTGCGGGGCCAGGTGTCAGCAGAGGGTGTCTGTGCCCCACGGGCTGCCCGGGGGGGCGGTGCAGGTCCCGGGGTGGGTTTGCTGGGGAAGGGGCGGGCAGGGCAGAGCCGGGCGGAGACCGAGGAAGAAGAGGAGGAGGAGAAGGAGGAGGAGGCGGCGGCGCTGGGCAGGGTCCGTGCTGGGACAGGAGCTGTGCTGAGCTGCAGCCGGTGGGGTGAGGTCGGGGGGTTGTGTGGCGGGGGGACCATGCCGTCCTACACGGTCACGGTGGCCACGGGCAACCAGTGGTTCGCGGGCACCGACGACTACGTGTACCTGAGCCTGGAGGGGACGGCGGGCTGCAGCGAGAGGCACCTCCTGGACAAACCCTTCTACAACGACTTCGAGCGCGGTGCGGTGAGTGCGGGGCTCCGGGGCTGCGGGGGGGGGCTCCTCTGGTTCGGGGCTTGCAGATTTCCTCCTGTTTTCCTTCCAAATACTAAGCGAAATTGTGTGCTTCCCGTTGCTAGGGTGATGTTTAGGGTCAGTGTTTACTAGCGGTCCCAATGTCTCCCAAGGAATGCAGATTTCCTCCTGTTTTCCTTCCAAATATTAAGCGAAATAGTGTGCTTCCCGTTGCTAGAGTGATGTTTAGGGTCAGTCTTTACTAGCGGTGCCAATATCTCCCCAGGAATTAAAGAATTATAGAATCATAGAATCATTCAGGTTGGAAGAGACCCTTGGGATCATCGAGTCCAACCATCTCCCCTACTCTACAAAGTCCTCCCCTACACCATGTCCCTCAGCACTGCATCTAAACGGCCCTTAAACACATCCAGGGATGGGGACTCCACCCCCTCCCTGGGCAGCCTGTTCCAATGCCCGACCACTCTTTGGGTGAAAAATTCCTTCCTAATGTTCAATCTAAACCCACCCTGTTGGAGCTTGAAGCCGTTCCCTCTCGTTCTGTCACTAATTACCTGTGAGAAGAGACCAGCACCAACCTCTCTACAGAAAGAGGGACCCCCTCCCTGGGCAGCCTGTTCCAATGCCCGACCACTCTTTCGGTGAAAAATTCTTTCCTAATGTTCAATCTAAACCTACCCTGTTGGAGCTTGAAGCCGTTCCCTCTCGTTCTGTCACTAATTACCTGTGAGAAGAGGTAACCTCTACAGAAAGAGGTAAGAGCTTCCCGTGGGAATTGTCGGGCATTCCGACTTGTAGGGCAATTTCGGTGGAAGTTGGAAAAGAGCGTGAAGATGCTGGTGTGAGAATGGGGTTGGGGCTGGGACATGGGCTACGCTATTCCTTCTGTCCTTCATTTCTGCCCTGTGTGGTGCCCTGTCCTCTCTGGGGTCCCATGGAGATGTCCACACTATCCATCTGTGATCACCTCTCCTCTGAGCACTGGTTTAGAATGGCATTCATTTATTTGCTTGTTGTCCACTGTGGAAATAATACACTCAGCTAATTATTATATTTTTTTTTTCCCCCCTCCCAAAATGTGTATTTTATCTGGAAACTTAACTCGGAGTTTCCAAAAGGTCTGGTGGGATGTAAGCAGCTTTGAAAATTTTAACAAATTCCTCCTAAGTCTCTGTGGAAATGAGACCTGCCCCTGCACAGACAAGTGAGATTTCCCTCCCACGGTGCTGCTCTGCCTTGAGGTGTGTTTCTTTAGTCACAGGGTCCACAGCCCAAGTGAGGTGCCTCGTCCCTTCTGCATTAGACATCTCACTCATGGCTAACAGCAGTCAGCACTTTGAGTGGGTGTTGATGGCGTTGTGTAATTATGGTCCCCGGATAATTATCCCCAATGTTCTGAGGAGGTGCTCTAGCAAGTTCAGGTGTGGGGACTTACCAGCCACTGCTGTTGAAGTTATTTTCCTTCATGATTAAACATCCATTAGCTTAGAACCTTGTTATTTAGATCTCCCAAAGGGACATCCAGCCATTCCTTCTCTCTCATCCGGTGAATAGTCACATATTTTAAGCAAAGCTTAACAACAGTGGAAAGAGGGGTTGAAGAAAACCTCAGACTTAGGGTTCTTTTCTATGAGGGGTAAGCCCTTTCTGGATGAGGAGATAAGCACCGGGGTCTCCAGCGACCTTGTGGCTCCTGTCACAGGGAGGAGATGCTGTGATGTGAGCAGTAAATGTGAATTGCTGTGGGACCAGGTCCAGCAGGAGCAGAGGTACCTGTGGGCATGGGACCCTGCTGGGTGAGGAAGCGGAGAAGGGGGATTTGAGGGTGTTGGTATCACTCCAGCAGAAGATGTCTGCACCTAAAAGGAGTAATTGCATCTCCTCGGGAACGTACCTTTGAAAGTCTTCACCCAGGTCCTGGCATTTTATATAAAATGTGGTGGTGTCTTTCTGAGCCAGGCGCTGTCTCTTTTAAAGCGGAGAAGGGGGATTTGAGGGTGTTGGTATCACTCCAGCAGAAGATGTCTGCACCTAAAAGGAGTAATTGCATCTCCTCGGGAACGTGCAATTTCAAAGCAAGTGTCACGGTGTCACTCTGCTTTCTTCCCGTTAACCCAGGTCCTGGCATTTTATATAAAATGTGTTGTTGGCTTTCTGAGCCAGGCGCTGTCTTTTTTTTTTTTTTTTTTTTTTTTGGTGAAACTTGTTTCCAAGTGCAGAGGTTCTTGGCTAAATCCAGATGACAGCTTTTTCTCCCCTTCAAATTTATTATTTCTGTTCACTGTGTGTTTGATACTTCAAATACACAGTCATTTTTTTCAGCACGTATTCATTGTGGAGAAGGAGAATAACTCGGTGTTCCCTAAAGTGTCTGGCTCGTTGGACACTTGCTGTACAAGGTGCTAAGTTTTGTTGTTGAGGATGTTTTCTCGGGGAGCACAGGGTGTTCTTCCAGGCACACTTTCAGGTAACATTGTGCCCAAAACATTGTAAGCCTTACTAATACATTGGGCAAAGAAAGAAGGAAAGAAAAGAAAAATTAGCAATATAGAACCAATAAAAATAAAACTGAAGCTGGCCAAAAGACTTTCAGGTTGATTGGTTTGTAAAATGCAGCAACTGCTTTCACAATTCTGCCTTTAATGTTTCTTTCAATAGCATCTCTAAAATATCCTTTCTCTGCAAAGCAATTCAATTGCAAAATTGGTTTGTAAAATGCAGCAACTGCTTTCAAAATTCTGCCTTTACTGTTTCTTTCAATAGCATCTCTATAATTTCCTTTCTCTGCAAAGCAATTCATTGCAAAAACATTTGCAAAAAAAAAAAAAAAAAAGCACTTTTTTCAGTGGGTGACCAGAATTTTACAGTATTATCTTGTAAGGTTTTGTCTACTTTCCAGTTTCTTTTCTCAATGTTGGGTCAGGCTCAGCAGTTCCATTATCATAGAATGGTTTGAGTTGGAAGAGACCTTAAAGACCATCTAATTCCCACCCCCTGCCCAGGGCAGGGACACCTCCCACCAGACCAGGTTGCTCCAAGCCCCATCCAGCCTGGCCTTGAGCCCCTCCAGGGATGGGGCAGCCACAGCTTCTCTGGGCAACCTGTTCCAGTCTCTCACCACCCTCACAGGAAAGGATTTCTTCCTGAGATCTCATCTAAACCTCCCCTCTCTCAGTTTAATACAATTACCCCTCATCCTATGGCTCCACTCCTTTATAAAGAGTCCTTCTCCATCTCTCCTGCAGCCCCTTTAAGGCTGTTATAGAGTCTCCCCAGAACCTTCTCTTCTCCAGCCTGAACAACTCCAGCTCTCTCAGTCTGTCCTCACAGCAGAGGTGCTCCAGCCCTCTGAACATCTTCGTGACCCTCCTCTGGACCGGTTCCAAGAGGTCCATGTCCTTGCCATTATCCTGGTAATGTCTTCGTTTGAATCAATGCAAATTGTGCACGTTGCTAGAAACGATGAATGAGGGCTCGGGCCAGTTCCGAGTAAGGGATTTGCATGCCAGATGCTGATTGAGGGAAAGGGACGTGGAAAAAAACCCCTGAAGGGGTTTGCACAATGGTAGCTCAGTTGTGTTTTTTTGCCTGACTTAACTCCGAGGACTGGACCCAGGCGATGTAGAAAACCGGAGCTGCTTTTCTTTACTCGCTGTCTTTTGAGTAAGTTCCTGCGGGTGCTGAGCAATTTCAAAGCAAGTGTCACGGTGTCACTCTGCTTTCTTCCCCCTCGTCTGCTTTTTGATTTTGTTGAAAGAAATGCCCTCACAAGTATTTCCAGAAGGGAAATGCAGCTCTTTCCACTTACGCGTTTTGTGCTTATAGAAAGAGGGGTTGTCTGCGTCATCATTTTTGCAATATTAGACCAGTCATAGAATCACAGAGTGGTTTGGGTTGGAAGACCTTAAGATGACCTTAAAGATCATCCAGTTCCACCCCCCTGCCCTGGGCAGGGACACCTCCCACCAGACCAGGTTGCTCAATGCCCCATCCAGCCTGGCCTTGAAAGGTTCTCTCCTCAAAAAGAAAGAGCTTAGGTTTTGCCTGAGATTAAATTGCTTGGACAGGAGGCTACAGGAGTTTGGATGGTCCAGTAGTCTTCATTAATTCTATTCTCTCACTCTGAGCTCAACCTCTGTGAAAACTCATGGCATCTCTGGCTCACTGTGCAGCTATCAGGGATGCCATGTGTTCGCCAGGAGACCTCATCCAACAAGTGCCATAGAAACCTTGAGCAACCAGCTGCCAGTTCCTACCAGGACATTCCACTGTCTTTGTAATCATCTTTGTACCTTTGCTGCATTAGCAAAATTGTCAATTTGGGTCAGCCCATGGCATCATTGGTTTCAAAAGCTGGGTGAGATATCAGGAGGGAATGCTCGCTTTCAGAAGCACCATTAAAATGGGAGCTGTCATAAACAGCTTAGAAACCTTCAGGAACATTTAGGCTAATTAAATGTCCTTTTTGCATTACATCGGCAGTGACTTGTGCAGCTATTTTAGGGCTCTTGTAATATTAGCAAAGAGATTGTTACCAGAGGAATGAGTTTCTTCCAAAGATCGGCTGCCACTGTGACATTTCTATCAACTCTTTGGATCTGATTCACTTTGCTCTTTAATTTAAATCTTAGATGTATGTATATATAGGTGTGACATTATAAAAACTATGGAAATTTATATGTGTAAATGAGGATTTTCTTTAAAAAATTATATTGTTAGCTAAACCTTTAAAGGAGATGAATTTAAAAAAAAGGATATCAGGTATCTTGGGCGACACGGAGCTGATGAGAAGATAAGACTAATTTCAGACTTTGTGCCATACTAATGGCTTGACAGCAACGGGCTTTCATGAGGACTTGAGCTAAAAATAGTGATGTTCATTTCCCCTATCCAGACAGTGTCTTTGGTCACTTTATTCTTCCTCTCTGCACATGGAAATGAGTGAGAAGATGGAGCATAAAAATCCCAAGCAGCTGAACACAAAGCGAATCTGAATCCAGATGCAGTTTATCTCTTGCTTCTGTAGGTTGTTGTATTCGTCTTTATGTGGTTAAATTCCCTTTATATTGGATAATAATTCACATAGGTTTGTGGATGGGTTTGGACTGTGCTTCTTCAAGGTGACTTTTTCCAGCTCCTGGCAGCCAGGTGCAACAAGAGGAGGGTAAAATTGAAAGAGAGGATTAATTTTGAGAGATACATATAAAGCATCTTCCCTTTTTAAATAATGAGGATGATGTGCTTTGGTTTTGGAAGATATCAGATGTTGAATACTTAAGGAAGCTATATATCCCTTTTGTTTCCTCCTTACTGCAGTCGGATTTCTGGGTTTGTCTATCAAGTTTTGCTCCTCTACTGGCGCTGAGTGGTTATAGTGGCTTTCAGAGTGAGGGTGGGCAGGGAGGGGTGGGGATGTCCATGTACTTAAAAATAGGTTTTGTTTGGTTTGTAATTGCAGAAATTGGTCTGTAATTGCAGAAAAAGCTGCACAAGCAGGAAGTGGCCGGGTTTGAGATACGTGGTACCACAGCCTGTGATGATGGACTCTCTTCTGCAAAGTGCCGCCTGGTCCTGGAAGGACACACGAAATTGCAGAAGTACTGACTCAGTGCAAAAGCTGAGCCTGTTAAAGAGTTTATTGACACTGGTTTTATTGAGAAAACCAGGAAATTAATAGGAAACAGAAATGGTTCACGTGCTGCCTGTTTCTGGAAAGAAGGTTAGAAGAATGGGAAACAATATGAGCATGTTATCTATATTTTCTAGCCATCATCCAGAATTCTTTGTGTCCGTTGACAAGAGGGAAGCCGAGAATATTGGACGTGGGGTGACAGGCAAAGATCAGGGTGGTTGTGGGAGGGAGGAATCTCCATTCACTCAGCCAAGAGCATGAGGGTACGTCCTGCTGAAGAGTCAGCAACGCAAACTCCCAAAAAATGTTTAAAATCAGTATATTTATTGGCTTTACAGAAAGAAATATTTCTTTTCTGCTATGGAGATGTAAGGAAAAGTGATAAGCACAATCTTAATATGTCGGTTGGAATCTCAGCTCTGTGATTTTTGTCTCTCAGCTCACGTCCTAGCAGAGGGATGCTGTCAGGCTGAGCTCACCGAGGATCACCGTGCTATTTGTGAAGTGGTTTGTTACCCACCTGGTGTGTATGGGTGTGCTACCGACAGAAACACTGCCAATTTTTTATTTAAGACATGATGGGCTTCCTTTTTAAAATAAACAGTTCAATGTCTATTGCTTGCATTGCATATGCGTAGGGAGAATATATCTCAGACTAAAATTAATCTGTGAAGTCTCAGCAAATCAGCATAAGCACCATCCGTGCCCTTTTTAAATATTTGAGGCTAAAATTAAATTAGGCTGCATGTTAAAAGAAATCCCCACAACCTTGTTAGTATGAAACAGCCTCGTATGAGTTGCAGTGTAGCAGTTGTGACCTGACAGTTTCAAAGTTGATTGAAGAACATCTTTGGGGAAAGACAGGCAAGGACAATGTTTTATTGTCTGCAGGATGGACTTCAAAGCCTAAAGGGTTTTTTTTTTATTTTTCTCTGGCTTCTGTGAGTCAATTAGATGTGACAAACTTTACGAAAGCTCGTTTTTTTATATGATGCATTGTGAGAGAACTGAGGTCTGTCCTCCCAAACTTCGGTGGACAGATAGACATCTTCATCCCAAAGTAATCATGACAGCTGATAATTCCTGGATAGCTCATAGAAAAGAATACTTTGCGTCAATAACGGGGGAAACTTGGGCTAAAATGGGAGAGGAAGGGTTGCCAAAGGGTCCTTCTTATGTGTGTTCTTCAATCATGTGGGTGCAAGTTGCTGTGAATCTTTCTTTTGTAGCTGTTGAGATAATAAGTGTCATCTGGAGGCATTTAAAAATTACTTTCATTTTCTCCTGTCTGGAATTTAGTCTTTCTTCTCTCTTCAGCTTTGGTCCTTAGGTGAATTAGCATTTCCCTAGCAAGTAGGAGACAGTACCAGTGGGCATATACCAAATGCCTGAGGAAGCCTAAGAAAGAGCTCCTGAAAAGCACAAGCCGAGTGTGGTGTCCAGGTCAGGAGCCCCATGGCAGAGCTCACCCAGGATGGTGGGTCTCTGCAGGTGGATCTCATGCCTTAACTCATCCTTTTGACACCAGCAGCTGCTTGGTCTCTGAGATTGTTGACCGTGTTGCGAAAAACCAGAAGAGAAGGAAGTCTCTGCTCGTAACCACATGAAGCTTAGCAGGATCATCTGAGCAGAGCAGGCTTTGGCTGCTGCTCCCGTGGTTGCCAAAGCCCATTCAGCTTTGTCATGATGAGCAATTGGCTATTTCCCCTTGTCTGGAGCTGTTTACACTCCTGGAAAGTGAGAGTTAATTCCTATTAATTGCCTCACACGGTGTGGTGTCTTCCTGGTTATATTTGAAACGATTACTCATTTCTTCCTATGCTGGTATTGCTTAATGCAAGTGCCACCAGAACTGTCATTTGGTGGGTGCCGTCCCCATGTGTGGTAAGAGGCTACATTTCAAGGAATAATATCATTTTTAGATTGCGTACAGAAACGTTTCTCCATCTCCAGAGTGTTTTACATGTTCTTCTTTGTTCTTTCATTGAACTTGCATTGTGGTCCAATATTAGATTGTCCTTTTCTCACCCAGCAGAAGCTGGAAAGTCCTGTCGTACCCATGCCATCTCAGGGAAGGCCAGGTACCCTTGTGTAGTGCTGGTTGTGCTTCCCCCACATGCGGTGGATCATTGTCTGTGTTCTGCTCTGCAGGTTGACTCCTATGATGTGACTGTGGAAGAAGACCTTGGAGAAATTCAGCTAATAAAAATCGAGAAACGAAAATACTGGTACCAGGATGACTGGTACCTTAAGTACGTCACTGTGAAAACGCCGATGGGTGACTACTTGGAGTTCCCATGTTACCGTTGGATTACAGATGAAAAAGAGGTTGTCCTTCGAGATGGAAGAGGTGAGAGCCATAAGAAATCTGATTTCCTGCAGAACATCCAGAATTCTTCCACCTCTCCTTCCCCTTTCTCCATGTACCTCCCAGTCTTCTCTTCCCACTGCCACTCACCTTCTGCTTCCTGGGGAATGGGCTTTCCCTGGAGCTCTTTCTGAGCACTTTGTTGGGCTGGGCAGTGGCAGTTGAGTTGGGTATTTTGAGGAGCACGTGCGAGGTAGAGTCCTTACACTGGCATGTTACATCGGTCTTGCATTTGAAGGCTGGCCCTAACACCAAATTTTTGTCTTCTCCACATCTCCATTGCTGGAAGCCTTTTTGATCTAACTAGGATTAGTGTCCCATCTTTGTTTCTTACTAAGCCCTTGATTAATTGTCTGTAAATTGTCTTGTTTTCTTGAGAGTGAAATAAAATCCTGAAGTAGGCTGCTCAGCAGGTGAAAGACTGACTTGAAACAGCAACTTCACTTTTCACCCCTTCCCTTTGCGTGCTCTCAATTCCAGGAGAAGGCAGGATGAGATGGATATGGCTGCTGCAAGTATAGAATCATAGAATGATAGAATGGTTCAGGTTGGAAGGGACCTCAAAGACCATCTCATTCCAACCCCCCCTGCCCTGGGTAAGGACACCTCCCACCAGACCAGGTTCCTCAAAGCCCCATCCAGCCTGGCCTTGAACCCCTCCAGGGATGGGGCAGCCACAGCTTCTCTGGGCAACCTGTTCCAGTGTCTCACCACCCTCACAGCAAAGAATTTCTTCCTAAGATCTAATCTAAATCTCCCCTCTTTCAGTTTAAAACCATTATCCCTCGTCCTATCACTACATTCCCTGACAAAGAGTCCCTCCCCATCTCTCCTGTGGCCTCCTTCAGCTACCAGAAGGCTGTTATAAGGTCTCCCTGGAGCCTTCTCTTCTCCAGGCTGAACAACTCCAACTCTCTCAACCTGTCCTCACAGTGGAGGTGCTCCAGCCCTCTGATCATTTTCGTGTCTTCCTCTGGACCCATTCCAACAGGTTCATGTCCTTCCTGTGCTGAGGACTCCAGAGCTGGACACAGTGCTCCAGGTGGGGTCTCACCAGAGCAGTGGTGGCCAAGTGAGAAAACTCTGTTCAGAGTGGCCTGTTGGACCCAAAACTTGGGTTTTAACTGTCTCTGCTGTGATCAGGGTCGGGGCAGATATTTGTCACTGATGTTTGCTTGTTCCCCTCTGTGCTTCCTAGCGTAGATTGGCTGCTGTAGTGGTCTGCAGCATGAATGCCTTGAGACAGCTGAAACAATATAGGACATGGTAGGAAATAAATGTTTATCTTTCCATTAAGTTTTTTGGCTACTCCTGGCTGAGGAATTTTTCACTGGAAGCCTTTTGTCCTGTAATCACAACTATGTGTTAGTTTATTTTTTGTCTCCGGAAGGTCTTTCCATTTTTCCTAATTTTATTTATAACAACTGTGACACTTCCATGGAAAGTGGCTTTGCATGGCTTCTGGAGGATGGTGAGGTACAGGACAAAAGCAGATGAAACCCTGTTGGTAACTTGAACACAACCAGCTGGAAACCGTTAGCCATGTCTGTTATCGGTTGAATTACCTCTGATATCTCCAACCCAAACAACTGCCTCCATGAAAATCCTGCTGGATTTATCTGCCTTCCCGTTTGCATATGTAAATTGAGTCACGTACCTTGCCCTTTCTCTGATCACTAAGGAAGCCTGGGTGCTATTTAATGGTGTAGTGAATGCATAGTCAGAAGAGCAAGTTGTCTGGAAAAAAAGTCTCATTGGTTTTTCTTCCTGTTTTCATGATAAGAAGATATGATTATCACCCCAAGCTGAGAGGGGAGAGCACAGCTCAAGGAGAGAGGGCAGGAGATGTTTCCTGCAGAGGTCTTTTAGGAGAGAAGGTTAGCTGGGACAATGTTGTGATTTCTCTTATTGATGAAAATTTGGTTAAATTTAATAGCCATGACTCTATTCAGACCATTTAACGCCAGACCAGAAATTTGAAGGTTTGGAAACTTGGCTGTCCTTCCCAAGCCCTGGGCACAGTGGTGGGTAGAGAAACCCCATAAACCTGTCTTTTTTGCCTTGTTTCACAGCAAAGCTCCCCCGGGATGACAAGACCCAGATTCTCAAGCAGCACAGACGCAAAGAGCTCGAGACCCGTCAAAAAACCTACCGGTGAGTTTCCCCAACGCTCCCCAGAAGGTCCAGGGCCTGTTCCCATCAGGTCAGAGTTTGGCAGAGTATGTTCAGATTATCATATTGCTCTCATTACTGGACTGCTGAGCAAGAGAAACCATAAATTACCATGTTGGCCATGGTTTTTAAGCCTGTCTGGAAGGGTTAAGTCGGAATTTCTGCATGGGCCCTCCGGCACACAATAGTGCTTTCAAGGATGATTTGAAAACACATTTCATTTTCCTTTTACAAGTGGTGCTTCAGTTTTGGAACACAATCTGAAGGTGTCAGCTCTTACCAGAGTTAATTTAATTTGTTTCCTGCCCTGGGGTGTAGTGGAAGATCCAGCCCTGGAATGTGCTACCAGGACACAGTGTGATACCCACCTTTACACTATCATAGGCATTTTTCCTTAACCAAGGTCACAATGAGAAAATGCTATCTTTTATCAATGGGTAGCTCCAGAAGGCATTAGACATTTCCTTTTCCTAGAGCTGTACTCTCTGTTAAAATAACAAAAGTTTCTTGCACTGGCCTATCGTTATTGTGAGCGTAAGGACCAGAAGGACAGAGCGTCCATTTAGAATTGATGGATGGGGGCCTGGTTTTGATATCATTTGACTAAGAAAGGTGGGAAATAGAGCAGAGGGAAACACAGTTGAAAACGGGGTGTGGTGTAAAATTTTACTTACTTATGCAAAAAGGAAGGCAAAACCATTTGTAGTTTCAGGGAAATAGCTATTTACAATTCCAATGCATCACTGATAACACACAATGCTGTCTGTGTGTGGCAGGCAATTTGGAAATGCCATTGAAACAGTGTTCTTTACAAATTGCCTTCTTTTGTTTTCAAGGTAAAAATGGGGCACAGTGCAAGAACACACGTGGCAGAGAGTGTGTGCCATGACCACTAGGAATTAAGACTCTCGGTGTCTCCATCGAAGAGATGCCTTTTGGAGGGACCTAAATATGTGTCTGAGCATCTTGGTTCTGCACAAATGTAGCCCCAAGAATGAGTGTGCTTTGGGGGGGCGGATCTCTGTCTCTCTGCCCCCTCCCCTCCCAATATGTTTGAAGCTACTCCCAATTTCAACCAAATGTGACAAGAGTTTGGAAATGTCACAGATATTGGTACTTCCAGTTTTGGAAAGGTGGGCGGCCAAGTAGATGCCTTCCGTTGTACTTCAGGATCCTGTAGGGAACTGGTAGGTATTGATGTGCTATAAGTCACTGGTTTTGGCCCCCAAATGAGTCTGATGCCACTTTACTTTGTAGAGTTGAGTCACAGAGGCAGAGTAGGCAGAGACGGCTCTCCTGGTGGTGGGATGATGTGGTTAATCCAACCTCCCTTCTGTTCTCAGCTGGAAGGAGTGGCACCCAGGCTTTCCCCTGAGCATCGATGCCCACTCTCACAGCGATCTGCCTCGTGACATCCAGTTTGACAACGAGAAAGGAATCGACTTCATTCTGAACTACTCTAAAGCGTAAGTGTGTGGGGGACTTTTTTGCAAAATCTCTTTTGGGGCAGGGTAAGGATCTCATCGCCTTTCAGGTTTCATAGAAATCTCCAAATTGGATTCTTTTCTCACAGTTGGATCTGCAGCCAATTAAAGTAGGAATGAATTGAAGGGTTTTTTTTTTTTTTAAAGTATCAATATTTTAAGCTTTTCACAGTGGGAACGGACTGAGCCTCTGTGTTCTCATTAGACACTGTTTTGGCTGTAGACAGGTGGAGAGGCACTGGGAAAACCATAGGAAAAAGGACTATTGCACCTGATAACTTAGGCTTTTGGCTTAGTTCTCAGAGTTGCCCTTAGAGATACCTCTCTCCCCTGACTGTTAGCCATAATTTGGCCTTTTAGTCACGTACTAAAAGAAGATGTTATCAATGCAGCCACGAGAACCTGCTGAAGAAAAGCTGCTCTGAGCAGCTCATCAGTTAAACACATCTGAATGTTATCTGCTTGGGGCAACAAAGTCACTGTCCAACCACGTGTACGTGTCATGTCATTGAAAAAAAACCAAGAGTCCTGGCTGTTGGATGAGCCTGAATAATCAATGAAGCCTCATTAACCCTGTAGTGTTTCAAACAGGACCTCTCTGGCCCATGAGTCCCCTACTGAGCTGTTTCACGTCCCCAGGTCACATCGTATTATCTCAAACATCCCACTGTACTATCAGATGGTTGGATAGTCTGAGATGAGAAAACACTGGCCCAAGATCACCCACAATTTCTACATCTGTGGTTCTGTTAATACGCTGGTCTCTTCATATTTTGGAAAGGTGTTCCTCCTGGTATTTGGGTGATCAGAGAGAGAATATGTCATCAAGCATAGGTTGGTGTAAAAAATTGGGAGTTTGATAGCCACACTGAGAAACTTGCAGCTTTTAATAACAGTTAATATTTGCTCTCTTCCACACTAGGATCTGGTTTTGATGCCTTGTAACATCAGCAAATCTTTTTTCTTAGCATAACTGATCTCCAGCAGGTATGAACAGGGTGATGGCTGTGTTTTTGCACCATATATGGCCCACCTGGTATTTCAGAGCTCATTGGAATAAGGCATCTCAACAGCTTTGAAGACCAGGGGTCTCTAGCTTTCTGTCTCGTGCAAACTAGGATGTTAGGAGAATGATGGAACAGGCTGTAGAGCGTGTGCTGTTGTAACTTTCTAATGCAATATTAGCTGTTACGCCAGAGAAGTGGCTGTGGGGTCACACAAGGAGTTTCATTAATGGTATAAATGACAGACAGATGCTTCCTGCCCCCAGGTTTACCTAATGGCACATGGCCATGCTTCCTCCAGAAGTTCATCTGTGATTTTGACACCTCGTATCTGTCCAGAAAGTCCTGCCTGGTAGTTAACTCCCCCATGCTTCCTCCAGAAGTTCATCTGTGATTTAGATACCTCATATCTGTCCAGAAAGTCCTACCCAGTAGTTAACTCCCATCTTTGATCCTTGTGCGGTCATTCTGCGTCCCTGTCAGCTGGGGAGAGATCTCTGGAGAAGTCATCTCCTGTTCCAGGCTAGAAGGTTGCATGAGTTTTGCTTCTTAACGTGCCTCCAGATATCTTCTACCTTGAGCAGCAGCAGAAATGGTCCAGTCTATGTGCATCCCGTGTGGGCTCAGTGCAGAAGCAGCTCCTCTGTCTGGGTTATGGTCATGCTGGTCTAGACCCTTCCTCTAGGTGATCACCTGCAGTTTTTTCCAGGTTTTTGGTGCTCTTCAGCCACTTTTAAACTAGATCTTTTTAAGATGCCTAGTCTCAGTTTACTGTTTGTAAATCCACCCTCCTAAGGTTCTCCCTCCCACAAATGCTGTTTGGGAGGATTTCCTGTGACACTGTGACCTTTCCTCCATTATCTGCCCTTATCTTTGTTGATGTATTTGCTTTTCTTTGCGCTTTTGAAGTGTTAGTGGAAAGCCGGCTTTCTTTTTTCAAGTTCATTATTTGCTTTCTAGACAAAAGAAGTTTTTATAGCAACAGTTTAGCATTTATGTAACAATTTAGGACCTGTGATCTCCTACGAGATGAACTTGCTCGACTGTGTTGTGGAAATAATACTTGGCTGAATTAGCACTTTAAGACAGATGTTTGAGACCAGGCTGGATGGGGCTTTCAGCAACCTGGTTTTGAGGGAGGTGTCCCTGCCCATGGCAGGGGGGTTGGAGCTCGATGATCTTTAAGGACCCTTCCAACTTTAACCCTTCTGTGATTCTATATTTCTGGCTCCCAACCCCACCGTGTTCATGTGATGTCTGCAGCCAAGTGACTCGGTTCCTGGGGTTATAGATAAGCGTCAAGTTTAATCAGCAGCTCAAGTAGTTAGAAAGCTTTCAAAAAACCTCAGGTCTCATGCTGTAGGGATCCAGTCTGACCTTGGTCATGTAGACACTTCCAGGAGGTGTTCTCTTTGCAAATATTGACTGGACTGATCTTGGGTTCGTGTTTGTTCTGACTTTGTGCGCATCACTCAATCTCTTTGGTGTCACCAAACCCCTTTCTGAACCAGGGCTCATAATGATCTTAGCACCCTCAGCTGGTGCCTTTCTGACTATAGTTTTTCTATGACATAGGTCTTAAAACACTGCCATTTTTGGCTGTTGATAATAACTCCAGAATGGAAGTCAGTAAATGCAATTACAGGGACTGGACCCTTGAGACACCTTTCAGGCTCCTGCGTAAAGGGTACAGCCCACAAATTTAATCCTGTAAGGGTGACCAATCTCACATCCACCACTGGAAAATGTATTGTGTGCAGGTATATAAAAGGGCAGGAAAGAATAGGGATGGGTACTGAGGAAGCTGGAGATGGTTTTTTTTCAGATATGTTTTCTTTTGTTTTATTTTAGGATGGAGAACCTTTATATCAACCGTTTCATGCACATGTTCCAGTCCTCCTGGAGTGATTTTGCAGATTTTGAGAGGATCTTTGTCAGAATCAGCAACACAATTTCCGGTGGGGTTATCAGCATTTGTTCATGTTTGTGTCTTAGAATGACTAATTAGTTGTCTTCTACATATCTGATTAGGATGGAAGTGGCTGGCCTGTACTTCTGCTTTACCATGGTTTTTCATAAATAAACTGTTATCTCAGACTGCTGATCACACCAGCATCCCGCAAGACCAAAAAACAGAGTTTACAATCTTACACAACCTTAAAATTACTGGGAATTGCTCAGTGACCTTCTTTGACGTGAGCTCTACTGGAGGTCAGGCCAGTTGGGTGTCATAATCCCTTTTGGCTTTTAGAAATGTGTTTTCAGATATGTGCAAGTCCCAGAGGACGAATTTTCATAAGTATTTCCCATCTAAACGTAGAGATGGCTTAGTGGGAGTGTTCTTTGGAGCACATAAGCTGTTAGGGCACTCTTTTGAAGGTTTGATCATGTGTCTCCTGCTTCAGCCATCTAAATACATGGAAGATCTCCAAAGAGATTTTGGAGATTTTGGACATTTGAGAATGTTCTCTGCTAAAGGCAAGTATGAGGGTGACCCCTCTGGCCTCTTATGGAGATCTGACGTCCTCAGTCCTGGTGGCACTGCTTCTAAGAGTCCTGGCTCCTTGACCCTGTCCTGATACAGGGAGAGTACCACTGCCTGGGTTCTGCTGTCGTGACCTCACCTGAATCTCCTCTCAGTTGGTTCTCCTGGGCCATTTCTGTCAATTCCATAGGGCAGCTCAAATGCCTTTTGGTGGTAAATGGTTCCTAATAAGGGTCGTTTTGACAGAACTTATCAAAAGTTGTGAAAAATGCATGCTGACAGGCCAGCAGATCTGGGGATGGGTGTCAAAGAGCTGGGAATGACCTGGGAGCTGTTTCTTCTTCACCTACAACCAGGACGGGCTGTCAGACCACAACGCGGGGAACCCTGGTTCTTAATTGGAAATTAGTGCGAGTTGGGCCTGAAAAGGCTTGTGGCATTTATCCAAAAAGCCATCTCTTTTCAAAAACGTGTCAGAATGAGCTGTGCCTGCTGCATTCAATGTCTTGCTGTGCTTGTCATTGCGTACTCACATCTTCTTGCTAGAAGACAAAAATCCCTCTCTAAGAGTGAGAGTTTCGCTTTTGTATTCGCAGCTGTTGGGTTTCTGCAGGGTCACTCGTACTGTTAGAAACTCTACCAATGTAGTATGAAGATGTCAAAGACAAAATACTATTTTCTTTAACCCTTTTCAATACAAGCTTCCTAACAGTTATGTAGAAGAAGTGCAGATAAACATGGGGTTTTGAAGTTCATGGTTTCTGGGAAGCCTTGGTTTTGTGACCCGGATCCAACCTTCGACTATCACCCATGGTCACGTTATTTTACTGTGGTTTTGGAAATGATAGATACACAGCTACTATGAGTTGATTATTGTGTGGTTCTTCCAACGTGCATCAATGGCCTGTTCAGACCCTGCAAAGGAAAATCCTTTTCCCCCCTGCTCCGAAGTTTTGCTCCTCTTCAGGCTGCCTAAGGAGCAGTTAACAGAAATGAGAGTAATTTCTGCAGTCTCGGCTATAAAACAAAGCACACGAGCTGGCCAGAGCTATTAAAAACTAATTACAGCAATTTGTTACATTTAATAAGATTGCTTCCTAAATTATTTTTAACACAGGAATTAGATATAATCTACAATTAATTTCATTGATAATGTTTCCATACTCGTGAGGGAAGCTCCAATTCTGTTAGTTTTAAACGTTAAGCATCAGTCTCAGTTATACAAATGCAACTCTGAATCTGCTTATTTGCCAGTCTGGGCAGAAACAGGGCTAGTGGAGAAAGTGGTTCAAGGCATTTTTCGGTCATCCAGTTTCTGTCCAAAGCGATTAGTCATTTTTTGCTTTGTCTCGACTTCAGATACAGCTCCAGACTCATTATAAAATTGACAGAGGTGATGTAGATGTCAGCTTTAAGTAAACTTAACTTTTTTCCACTCTGTTAGCAAGCATTGTGAGTTTTGAGACTTTTTTCTTTTAATTATCGCTGCATTCCTTCAGGCCTACCTTTTTCATCCTTTCACTCTTTGTAGAAGAATAAATTGCTTTCAGAAAAAATTCTATCTTGTCTGAAAACAGGCAACTGTGGAAAACTTTACTTGCTTTGTTTTTTCCCCTGAAGACACCAATGGGATTTTTAATATTAAACATGTTTTTTTTCTGACTCTGAAATTGTAGGCTGAAGTAGCAACATGACATTATGAAAGAAGACACTGGAAATGGGGAAAACATCCAGTAGTACTGTATGTGTAATAGCAAAGAGATGGAGTACCCAAAACTAGCATTTTCATAGAATCATAGAATGGTTCAGGTTGGAAGAGACCTTAAGGGATCAAGTTCCAACCCCCCTGCCACAGGCAGGGACATTTTATTAAGAAGTGATGTTAATCTGGGTTTGTATTGGCAGTTGGAAAATAGACAGAGGGAAAAAAGGTGTTAAACAATAAAAATGAGCAGTTTTACTGAGTCAAAGTCAAAACCCTTCCCCAGATGTCCCTTACCCATCTCCAGCCAAGAGAACTGCTCCAGCCACTGCTGCTCTTTCCCTACCCACGTTGCTCTGTATTTCCCTTCTCCTGCCTGTGCCATCTATTTTGACTCAGGGTACTGCATAACCTGAGAATTTGAAGAGTGAGATTTCCAAATATCGTGGAAGACCCGAGAAGGTGGTCTGCAGATGGAGAGAGTATTTTTTTTTTTCATAGCAGTAGAATATTTTACTCCTCTTTGCTTCTGTACACGGAGAAACAAATTATTATCAATTTAATTCTTTTCGAAGTGAAAAGCAAAGGTTGCATTGTTCTTTTAAGTGATTTTTCTTAAAATTCTGTGGCACCTTTTGAATCCTTTTCTTGCTACTTTCTTTAGTCAAAGTTGCAATGCAGCGTAACAGAATGTGGGGGGAAAGGGAGTAATCCTACCATACAGCAGGATATTGATGCAGTGCAGATATTGATGCCGCAGCCTTGTTTTCCCTTTAGAGTACGTGATGCAGCACTGGAAGGAAGATTTTATGTTTGGCTACCAGTTCCTGAATGGATGCAATCCCGTGCTGATCCGGAGATGCACAGAGATACCCAAGAAGTTGCCCGTGACTATGGATATGGTAGAATGCAGTCTGGAGAGGAACCTAACCCTGGAGCAGGAGGTGAAGGTATGGGTCTGAGCGAGGTTGGACTTCATCTCTTCCTTCTCATATCCTTTAACCTCCAAACCCTGTTCCAACTGCTTTCAGCCACATCTCCTCTCTTCAGGCTGTGTGGCTGATTATGGCAAAGCTCATTGTCTCTACAGACTGGTGACACTTCTGTTGACTGTTTTCTCCTGAAGCTGCAGGCCATGTCTTTCTCCAGGTCCAGTTAAAGAGGTGTCACCAGGAGGTGAAGGGCCCTTTTTCAGTGGTTTCCCTTGAAAGGTCAGGGATTGACCGACTGCCTCAGAGGGGAAAAGTTGCTTCTCCCCTTCCTGATGGTGTCTTACCCTGTTGTGACCTGCAGAGTTAGACTGAGATGCTGAAGAAGGGTTGGCAAGGGTGGTCTGTGCAATGAGCAGGGGGGTCTCTTCAGCTGGCAGCGTGGAACTTGTTTGCATCTTGGTGTCACTGCATAAATGCCAAAGACATAGTCACTCTTTGCTGAAAGGCTCGCTGTCAGACTCAGCAGACACAGGTGTCAGGTAGTTTGTATAAAGGTCTTTCCTGTCTCAGTGGCATCACCCCTGGGCCACCATGAGCAAGAGTGGGCCATTGGCCCCTTGTAACCACGGGGCATAAGCCAGCCTCTGGCAGAGACTTCACAGCCTTCTTTGTTCCAAGCCTTGCTGCTTGCACTCCATTAAAACACATCACACTTGCCTTTTTTTGCCTTTTTTTTTTTATTTCCCCAGGCAGGAAACATTTTCATTGTGGACTATGAGCTGCTGGATGGTGTGGATGCCAACAAAACTGACCCGTGCACGATACAGTACTTGGCTGCACCCATCTGTCTGCTGTATAAGAATCTGGAGAATAAAATCGTTCCCATTGCAATCCAGGTGGGCTCAGTGTCAGCGTCTTCAACGGGGACACATTTGTTGTTTCATCTTAAACATAAATGACTTGGGGTTTTTGCATTCTTTTGATACCTTTCAGCTTGGTCAAAAGCCTGGCCCAGACAATCCCATATTCCTTCCTTCGGACGCCACGTACGACTGGCTGCTAGCTAAAATTTGGGTTCGCTCATCTGATTTTCACATCCACCAGACAGTGACCCACCTCCTGCGGACACACTTGGTCTCCGAGGTGTTCAGCATAGCCATGTTCCGGCAGCTGCCTGCTGTACATCCCCTCTTCAAGGTTGGTTCTTGCGTGGAGGGAGGTTATCACATCAGTTTGACAAACCGAAAGAATAGTTGGAGATAGTTTGGCTGGCTGCCCTGCAGGGCAATGTACAGCTCAGCCACCAGGACTTCCAGGGCTTGAGACTTTACGCCTGGTTGCTGTTGAATTCAGTCAGAGAATTTGCCTTCTTTCATTTTTTTTTTGTCCCGTTTTGCAGCTCTTGGTGCCACACATGCGGTTCACGATAGCCATCAACACCAAAGCCCGAGAACAGCTTATCTGTGAATGTGGCCTTTTTGACAAGGTAAATAATCCCTTCTGTGAATCTTCGTTACTCTTCATGGTTCTGTGTGTGCTTTTATCCCTTAACCCTCACAAACTGCCTTGTTTCTTGACCTTTCTGCTAAAGGGCAAACACAACTAATCCCACCGGAGAAAGTGGCACACAGAACTGATGTTAGAGTTAAAAGGTGTTATCTTTTACCTCTAAATAGCTGGTTCAGAACCGGCCGTCGTCATTAGAAAGTTGGTATCTCATTTACTCATAGCTGGTGTGGCTTTAGGGTATAAGAGTGCAAGGTATAACATCCACATACATCCCTGCACATGTATGCATGCAGTTAAGTCCCCAATTTTTTTTGTGAGTACTCAGCTGTTCATTTTGGGACAGGGTAGTGAGCAAAAAAACTTGTGATTGCAAAAGAGACATTTGCACCAGGGAAAGATGTGTAGATAAGGCAGTTTTCGAAGCCCACAAATAGCAGGTGGAGATTCCAACCTGTCATCTTGAACTGCCATGAACAGCAGATCTGCTGGGGTCAAAACTCAGCTTCATCCGAGGCAGTGAGATGTAGCTGTATGTCATGGACTGCGGTGCAGATCTTAGGTCAAACCTGAACATCTAAGTCTGACTGTGCTGGTATTTAACACGTACCCAGCCCTTCCTCCCCTGGCTGCCTGAGTTGTGGCATCCTGCATTTAGGAACCACAGCTGGTTGTCATGCAGTGGTCTCTGTGACAACACGTTAGCAGCAAATGGGAAGCTTGGGGAGGTTTCAAGAAGGGAGCCTGTGCTTCAGGACAACTCTGTCCCCCTTAAACCTCCAGCACCAGACCAAAAATAACTTCCATGCTCCAGAGTTTTTCACTCAAGGAGAAGAGAGATGTTAAATCCAGGCACCACCTTCCTTGTCTTCTGTGCTCTGCTCCTGACTGTGGAGTCCTGGCAGGCACTTCCATCCCATATGGACCATAAAGTCCATACGAGTGCATGGCTGAGACCTGCCAGCAGGGAGCCTGGAGTTACAGAATTTGTTGGTTCCACTGTAGAGGAACAACCAGCCAGAGGACAGTAAGTGTAAGGTGGCCACTGCTACACCATATGGTAGAAAAGCAACATTTGGGAGCTTTTCTGCAGTGATTGTCCAAAGAGTGTTGCAGTGCTGTTTGTTGTGGCCACTCCATGTTTTCCAAATGTAACCTCTACTCAAACCCTGGCCAATTCTCATGAGTAATCACCCAGCGGGGTTGATCTCCTGGTTGATTCCAAGGTGGCTAATAGTGACCTGCATCCCTGAACGCTTCCTCCTAAACCACTGCTGCTGGGTGGTTTCACAAAAGCCCTGCTCTGACACACTCCTGGCTGCCTTCACACACAGGTTCTGGAGCATAGGGCTGGCAGAAACTGCTTTGGGTTCCATACGTCCATGTTGCTGTGCTTTATTACTGCATTCCATTATGAAGAGGTGCCGTACTTATCTATGGAGAAAATGTGGATATTAACAGTGATTCACGGATTCCCCGAAGTCAAAATGCACAGTTGCAGTAGACCTCTTTAGTTCAGTACTTGTATGTGTGTAGATCTGGTTTTCTCCTTGAAAAACAGATTTTTGAACACCATCTCCTGTGAATTTGGAAAGCCAGTCTCAGCCCAAAGTGGACGTGTTCTCCTACTGTTCCTTGTCTTGCCCTTCTTCCTGCAGGCAAACGCCACGGGTGGAGGAGGACATGTACAAATGGTGCAGAAAGCAATGAAGGACCTGACTTACAACTCCCTCTGCTTCCCTGAGGAGATCAAAGCTAAAGGGATGGACAGCAAAGAGGATATCCCCTACTACTATTACCGGGATGACGGCATTAAAGTCTGGGAGGCTATAAAGAGGTAAGAGACCATAGTTGTAGTTATGGCTGATACAAGTCACTGTCACAGAGATGTGACTTCATTTTCCCTCCTCTCATTTTGCTCTTCATCACAGCCTGGTAAGCAACACCTGGGCTGTTGAGTCACACGGTGCCTTTTCCATCTGGCTTATCTCATCCGAGGAAAAATATATAGTCAAGCACACACCCTTGAAAGACTGCTAATTCCTGCTTTTTTTCAGCCCCTTTTTCTTGTCTCGTGCATTTCTCAGGCCCCTTTATACGTACTCTTCTGCAGGATTTTTCAGGGTTTAGTGAGTTGGAATTTAGCCCTGCAAAGGGAATTTAATTAGCTTTTTTTTTTTTACCACTGCACAAACCAAGAGAGAATCCATCTCTGAGCCAGCTGCGTGAGCTCCTCAGGGTTCTTGTGGAGTGGAAACATGAGGTTGGCTTGCACGAGAGTTGTGTTTTGAAAGTAAAGACATTAAGCATTAACTGACGTGAGCCAAACCTTCTAAAAATGCCTTAAAATTGCAAGGCCCAGGTTTTGACAGGAAGGGCAGCAGTTCTGAGTCAGGAGAGGTGCTGCAGAGCTGCTTGACCACACAAATGTGGCTCCTTTTCAGAGACAAAATGCTGCTCAGAATGGCATGATTCATATGTGTTCGTTTTTTTTTTTAATTCTACAGTGGCATTTCATTTGACAAACAGCGTATTTTTGCATGGCACAAATTGCTTGCTAAACGTGCAGCTGTTTCTGGTCACATAGCTTTTGAAAAGCGTGTTCATTAAAAATCAGATCTTTTGTGTATGCAGAGTGAGGGGTTTATAATGCAATGTTTAAAGTGTTGGGTACATTTGTCTCCTCTGTTTTCTCTGTGTTTTGGCAAGGGGTTATCTTGCAATATTTCCTGCAATTGTTAGAGCCCATTTGAGAGAAAAGGAAGTTATAACTCCTCTGTGGTTGTTTTCTTGATGCAGTCTGTGTTGGGTTTTTTTTGTCCCTCTTCTCTTTCCTATGTAGTCTTTGCTGATTGAGAGATGCCTTTTCAAATACCAGGTAGTACTTAGTCAACTCAATTAATTTTGACTGTTTGTGGGTGTTAACGTAGCTGGAGGAAGGTGTTACGCTGCCTCAGAGTTGGCTGAGAAATTCTTCCTGAGTAATTTGGGTTAGAAATGGCGTGGGCAAGTACCCTTTTGAGTGTATGATGCCCCTCACCCATGAACCCACGGGCATGATTGTGTCTAGTCACCATGAATCTCCTACGCTCTGCAGAGGTGTCAGTCTCTACTTTTTTTATGAAATAGCTTATATCCCTAGCATTGCTTCACATGGGGTAGAAGGCCAAGACTTAAGAAAGCTGATAATGCTGTTCCTATAGGGACAACGAGGTTCACATGGCAAATTCTTAAACCCTTCTCTAATACTCAGCTTCTTCTCAATGCCTATAAATACTTAAAGGGTGGTTGTCAGGAGGATGGGGACAGTCTTTTTTCAGTGGTGCCCAGTGACAGGACAAGAGGAAATGGGCACAAACTTGAATGTAGGAAGTTCCATCTGTACATGAGGAGGAACTTCTTTCCTGTGAGGGCGGCAGAGCCCTGGAAGAGGCTGCCCAGAGAGTTGGTGGAGTCTCCATCTCTGGAGACATTCAAACCCACCTGGACACCCAACCTGCTCTGGGTGACCCTGCTCTGGCAGGGGGTTGGACTAGATGATCTCCAGAGATCCCTTCCAATCCCATGTCATCCTGTGATTCTTATTTCTGATCAAACTGCAGATATATATTCCATCACAAAAGGCCTCATCCACACTTTATACACTTATTTATATTTGTATGGAAGAGGATCTAAAATACTGCCATTGTGTAAGAGAAGGATCATCTTCTGTATGCGTTTGGCAGAGGTGCCAGGTGGTGGAGGTAGACCTCATGCAGGGCAGCTTTGTCTCTGCCTGTTACAGAGTTTTTCTTTTCCTTTGGCTTCCTCTGGAAGCCAAAATTATTTAAATTCTTGGTGTTCATGCAGTTGTTTGCCTCAATGGCAACTCTTGACTTGGTTGGTTAATACAAACCACATTGACAGATTTGTAAAGGTCTCCAAATTGCAATAAATTTGTAGCTTGTCAGGGGAGAAATCGGTGTTGGATAACAATTTTTGATCCCATTAGTCAGCTTCCACAGTCAAATGTTTCACCCCATGGGTTGTTGTCAAAATATTTAGCAAGAGAATACAGGTACCTGCAGAGCTAACAGAATATCTCAGCATAGCTCCGTGAAGCAGTTGCTCAGTCACAAAATGCAAATCTTCAGGAAATCAGGCTTACCTATTTTCACTGCTTTCAGAACTATATCTGTTATCTCAGCGTTTTAAGAGCCTTTCCTTTTGAGATGGTTTAGCCTGGGAAGTTTTTATAGAAACAGGGATTTTGAGAAGAGGAACTGAACAGGGAGGAGGTGTCTGCTCTATGCAGTGGGTGCAGGAAAAAGCTCTAGACCTCCCCAAGAGAATTTTCCTGGGCCACCCCCACTTTGGAGGGTGCCACTTGAGTTTTGTCAAAAGGATGTGCGGAAGGAGGGGATCAACTGTTTGAATGATATATTCAGGAGCAGCTTTGGAGCATCCCACGTACAGGGGGTGGTGCTGGTATCACAGTTTGGGAACCCGTGTTCCCAGTGTGACAGCCATGTGGATATGCCAGAGGGAGCATATATTAAGTGAAGGAAAGGATGTAGACGTGATGATAGACGTCCAGGCAGGAGTAAAGCCTCAAATAGGAGAGTAAAGCACAGATGACTTTTCAGGGGATGCAGTGTGGTCCAGCATTTTTTGGTTGGGGGAGGAAGTGACTCAGAAGTTAATCAAAGTTGCCTCTGCGCATTCCCACTGCTTGTGGGAAGGAGGTAGGAGGGTGCTGAGACCTGCTCTTGCCCTTCTTTCCCCGTGCATCATCTGCCTCCTCTGCAAGGTCAGTAGAAGGTCTTCAGGGAATGGCAGGCTTGCTTTCTCCTTTACGTTTTGTCTTGTTCACTTGTTCCTGTGTCTTGTAGTTTTGCAGAGGATGTGATTCACATCTACTATGAGAGCGACGAGGTGGTGTGTGAGGATGTGGAGCTCCAAGCCTTCGTCAAAGACGTTTACGTTTATGGGATGAGGGGCGTGAAGGCATCAGGTAAGGTATGATGGCCCAGCTGGGTCTGAAGCTTGTCGAGTCCCTGCTGACAGCAATGCTCCATGCACAGCAGATCTTGAGCTGATGGAGACCCTCTCCCTTCTTGTCCCAAAGATGCTCAGTTTCATGGGTGAGACCCTGGATTAGGTCCTCCCTCTCCCAGGAGACAGCTTCTTCCTTTGCCACAGATTCGCACCATGAGCTTGAGCAACTCTTGTAATCTCTCTGTACGCTGGGTCCTGTGACCTTGTCTGCTCATGCTTTAAGCATTAGGAGAGGGGATGTCTGTATGTACTGCTGGAATCACCAGGCAGACTGATAGGAATCACAAGGAGCAGTGAGATGCCCTTGAATCCTCTCCTCCAAACCTAGCACCAAATTAAGAACAAGTAAGAACTTCCCCAGGAGTATCTTGCTGCACTTTGTTCAGCACCTGTGGCATTGTTGAGCTGTTCTGCTCTCTTCAAGAGAAGATATACTCATCATCCTTTCCAAGAAATACTTTCCTTTGCTCTGTCTCCTCATGCTGTCTCTCATTTCTTGCAAACCATTACTTGGCTGTGGGAGCTCTCACCCATAACACAGCTCTATTCTTTCACCTGACTTAACATCTCCTGCCTTTCCCTAAACCTAGTTTTTTTCCCTCAACTCACATTTTGTCCAAGCTGGATGGGGCTTTGAGCAACCTGGTCTGGTGGGAGGTGTCCCTGCCCAGGGCAGGGGGTGGGAACTGGATGATCTTTAAGGTCCCTTCCAACCCAAACCATTCTATGATTCTTTTCCCTTCTTTCTTTATGTGACTGATTATTCCCCTTCAAAGACAGCTTGATGCAACTATTTCTGTTCCTCATTCTGTTGTTTTTCTTCCAGAAGTTCTCGTTTCCTCACTTCCTGTTTCAGCAAATCAGCTCTCCCTGCTCTCTCTCTCGCAGCCCGCTTGATTGCTGAGCCTCGGACCTTTATTATGTGCTCACAGTCATTTGCTCCTTGGCATGGCCCTTCCCTGCTTGCACTGCAGACTGAGGAAAAAGGGAGCATCTGAGGCCTCTGTGGACTCTCTGGGTTCCTTGCTGCAGGGTAGGTAGGGTGAGAAGACATGGACATAGCGGTTTTTTGAAGGTCTGATTATACTTTGCCTTTCCCTTAAGCACCACCACATATTTTACAAATGGTGGTGGTGCCTCACAAACCTGTGTGAGGTTTAATCTGTTTTTATGGCTGGACAGGCCAGATGCAGAGACTTTGGGTGACTCCTGTTGGACACCACAACAAGATTCAGAAAAAGAGTGCCCTGCTCTTCAGTGACTGCTTCACGGTCCTCCACCTCATGCCTTTTGAACAGCTGGTTGCTCACTGAATTACTTCATAGCTGGGTTACTTAAGCTTTTCTTCTCCCTCTCTTAGGGTTTCCCAAGGCCATCAGGACACGAGAGAAGCTGGCGGAGTATCTCACCGTGGTAATATTCACCACATCGGCCCAGCACGCAGCGGTGAATTTTGGCCAGGTAGGAATTTCTGGGAAGTCTGTTCTTCTTTCTGGGCAGGGAGATGCATCTACCAAGGCAAGGTCTCAGAAATGTTTTTTAGTAGATGTACAGACATTGTACATTGCTCTCTCTGGTCAAAATAACTGCAGACACATTTGCAAATCCCCATGGAGCCTGTGGAAACTGAATTGTTTTGAAAGCTGAGAAGGGTATTTTCAGTCCTAAATAGGTACCAAAGCTCAAATTTAGGGGTTCTAGCTTGTGTATTTTATTTTTAATGATTTTTATTATTGGGAACAATGCTTTAAGCATTTGAACATCTTGCTAAGACCCCTTTCAGAAATGCAGAAGGGTTCAGGTGCACCGTTTAGCTACCACCCCTTCCAGACACCACGTGAAGTGCCCGTGCTGGTTGCCTGTGGCACATTCTGCAAGGAAATGCAATGAGTTCTGCTCCGTGGCTTTGCTTTGTGTTTGCTGTGAGCGTAGCCCTGGGTAGTGACCACGGGTTGCTGTTGTAGCTTTGCTTATCTGGTAGCACGGGTAGGCATGGGACACAGCTGAAATGGGACTTCTCCTCGGGCACGGCAGGGGTACGTGTGAAGGTAATGAAAAAATGCTTGGAAAAGAAAAAGTTATGGTAAATGCAGTATCTCAGATGGTGTCAAAACTTGAGGTCATATCTGAGGCCAAGCGAGACATCACCATCCCACAACGCTGAAGCAGGCCAGAAGGGATTCTGAGTTCCCAGTCTGGCCCTCACCATGGTCACATCCACATGCTATAGTTCATGATGCATCAGCATCCTTTGCCTCTCTTACTGCCTGCCCACAGTACAGTGGGCATGTTCTTAGAGCAAATTTTGCAGAAAAAAACAACCAGAGAAAAGGAGATTTTTATCATTTATATGTTTTTTTTTATCAGAAGTCTCCTCAGATTATCAGGAGAGATCTTTGTTTAATAAAATAGCGAAGTCCCAAGCCTGGATGGTGAATGTGGGCTGTGTGATACATGCCTGTGGTTAGCAGAGTAACTGCTCCCATCAAGGCAACCCAACTATCTCCCTTGTGAGATCCTGAGAAAGTTGGCAGGGACTTCTTGTCTACCGCAGTCCTTCTCTGGAGCATCTCTCTGCCCTTTAGTCAGTGTCTTCTCTTTCTGAGTGGCTCACATTACAGAAGTGAACTCCCTGGTGTCAAGACTCCTGATTTCCTTTGAAGTGTCTCTAAATCACAGAATCACAGAATCACAGGGGTTGGAAGGAACCTCATCTAGTCCAACCCCTTGCCAGAGCAGGTCCACCCAGAGCAGGTTGCACAGGAACGTGTCCAGGTGGGTTTGAACCTCTCCAGAGACAGAGACTCCACCACCTCTCTGGGCAGCCTCTTCCAGGGTTCTGCCACCCTCACAGGAAAGAAGTTCTTCCTCATGTATAGATGGAACTTCCTATGTTCAAGTTTGTGCCTGTTCCCTCTTGTCCTGTCACTGGGCACCACTGAAAAAAGACTGGCCCCATCCTCCTGACACCCACCCTTTAAGTATTTATAGGCATTGATCAGCTTCCCCCTCAGTCTTCTCTTCTCCAGACTAAAAAGACCCAAGTCCCTCAGCCTTTCCTCATCAGAGAGATGTTCTAGTCTCCTCATCATCTTTGTAGCCCTCTGCTGTCCCCTCTCCAGCAGTTCCCTGTCCTTCTGGAACTGGGGAGTCCAGAATTGGACCCAGTGCTCCAGATGGGGCCTCATCAGGGCAGAGCAGAGGGGGACCTGTCACCTGCTGGCCACACTGCAGAGTAACTGCTCCCATCAAGGCAACCCAACTATCTCCCTTGTGAGATCCTGAGAAAGTTGGCAGGGACTTCTTGTCTACCGCAGTCCTTCTCTGGAGCATCTCTCTGCCCTTTAGTCAGTGTCTTCTCTTTCTGAGTGGCTCACATTACAGAAGTGAACTCCCTGGTGTCAAGACTTCTGATTTTCTTGGAAGTGTCCCTAAATCACAGAATCACAGGGGTTGGAAGGGACCTCATCTAGTCCAACCCCCCTGCCAGAGCAGGTCCACCCAGAGCAGTTGCACAGGAATGTGTCCAGGTGGGGTTTGAATGTCTCCAGAGACGGAGTCTCCACCGCCTTCTTGGCCACAAGGGCACATTTCTGGCTCATGGTCTCCCTGAAATACCAACCGCTGTAGCTTTTCACTGTGCTGTCTTGCTTTGTTGTGCAGTATGACTGGTGTTCCTGGATTCCCAATGCCCCACCAACAATGCGCCGCCCTCCTCCGACAGAAAAGGGGACGGTCACCATCGAGCAAATCGTGGAGAGTCTGCCGGACAGGGGCCGTTCTTGTTGGCATCTTGGAGCTGTCTGGGCCTTGAGCCAATTCCAGGACAATGAAGTAAGTCAACCTCCTTTCTCCAGGTGGTGGAAATGTAGGTGAGACCACGAGGGCCATGGCAAGACCAAATGGACCCCCACGACTGTAGTGCTGCTCTGTGCTTGACTGGACCATGTTTGCTTTTCTGCGGAGATGTAGCCATGGTGGGGGTTTGCCCAGATGCAAACCAGCTCTGAGTGAGAAGTTGTATTTTTACTCTGAGGCTGCGTTTCAGCCAAAATGAGTGTCTAACCTCAAGTATGGCATTGCTGAGTAAGGATGTTGGTGTGGGAGGAAGAGGGCTTCAGAGCCACAAGGGTTTTCTCCACTCCTTGCCCCAGCAGTGCTGGTAGAGAAACTATAGCATCACTGTGTCCCCACATCCTGTCCCTTTGGAAAGTCTGCCCCAGTGCGTGGCTGGTGTGGAATGCAAAAAAAACAAGCTTCTAGGATGCTCTACAAGCATGGTCCATAGCCATTTCCCTCATTACAATGGTAATTAGGGTATCTGGTACCTGGTTGTCTCACCTGAGGTCTGTGTGTGGAAGATGTCTTTTGAAATCCTTAAATGGAACGTGATGGGCAGAGGGTACTTCTGAAGTTTCTTCTCTGAAGAAGAGAGCAGATTTCAGCTGAGAAGCTGTAGTATGGAAAATAGTGTCATGGTATCATGGGAAATAATTACCTGAAACAGGTAATATGCCAGTATGCACATTGGCAATGCAGTATTCAGGACTCTCAGATTCCAAGCTGACTAAAGCAACTGTCAGATTCAAGTTGAACTTTGAAGGACAGTTTTAAGTCAACAGAAGCTTCAATTGTCACTGAAAGAGGAAGGAGGTGCCACATAGACACCTGAACCACCTCTGCAGAAGAATGCAGGGATAAAATCAAGCAGCTCATGATGGAGGGAGGACAGGACAGCATCCTTCATTGGCAGTGCCAATGTGGAATAGCTTAAATATTGATAGTACTATTTTAATAGTAGCATTTGCGAGGTTCTGGGTGTTGTTCTGCTGAACGAACATAACGTTGAAAAGGAATAGCTTTTGCTTTCTCAAAGTGTGATTTCTTGGTGTTTCTCAATCAGCTGTTTCTGGGCATGTACCCAGATGAACACTTCGTGGAGAAGCCGGTGAAAGAGGCTATGGAAAAATTCCGCAAGAATCTGGATGAGATCGTCAACGCCATCGCCGAGCGCAACAAGAACAAGAAGCTTCCTTACTACTACCTTTCCCCAGACCGCATCCCCAACAGCGTCGCTGTTTGAGCAGAAACCCAGGGGAGTTTGGAGGCGCGTAAAGCTAATGATGCTTTCCTGTTACATGCGCTTTTTGTCAATGAACTTGCAGAAATGGATAAAATAAGAAACCCACCTTTTCCATCGGAGCTGACCCATAGTTGGTTTGGACTTTCAAAACCAATTCGATTATGACTGGTCTTGCAAAATCTAGTTGACAACCCTCTAGGTCAATTTTGTTACAGGTTTGTTTTTCCAAAATTATTTAAATAATCTCAGAATCAATATCCACATTTCTGTTAGCTTTCCCTCATCTGGCCAAAACAATAACATCATACATTCATTTATTCAACAAAAAGAGTATCATGAGCAATAAGCAAGTCGCATCTTTAAAATCCTTCCTATTTTTAATAGGTGACACTGGTGACATATAAAAATATAATCTTTAAAGTTTTTGCATAGTTTTTAATCCAATTAAAACAAATGTTAAATATTTTCACTACAGCTGTGAGTGTCCTAATCAGGATGAAGGTAGAAGCAGGACATTTTCTTAACACAGCAGACGGGTTTTATCTCTTTCACACCGATTTCATATGAAATGAGACAGCCTGCTTCACAGGAGACAAAAATTTTGTACCTATGTAAACCTATATATTTTCTACATAAAACTAGCCAGGTTTGTTTCAGCCTCTGCCAGCGGAGTTTGATGTTGTTTGTATGTACAGACAAATTTTTTGCTTAGCACAACAGCAATGAGTACAGACCTAGCACTGCTTATGCTCAGTTTCTACTGCATCTTGAGGCTGATGGGTTTTGTGTATGGTTTCCTCTGTTTTGTGGGGGATGACGAGTCCACTTTTTATAATGAAAAAAACTGGAGAAGTGGTTAATTGACAGCTTCTAAGGGAAATCTTCAGACTTGGACAATTAAGCATAACTGGCATGTTCCAACTTAGTTAGAAATAACTGAGTTTTGTCTGTTTTGTTTAGAGGTGATTTGGGGTGAGTACTTGGGCTTTGGTTAAAGGTTAGAGAGTCATTGATATAATCAACGCAAAAAATGAGGTTCGGGGGATTTAAGAGTAGTAGTTTTGTTAATAACAGTTTTGGTTTACTTTTCCCAGAATTTGTTCCTTGTACTAGTTTCACCAGCCTGCAGTGTGTTTCCTCAATAGCTAAGAAAGCCCCTTGTCCTAATAAAAAAAAACTGAACCAGAACATCTATCTAGCTTTTATTTCTGAATATCTAACGCTGTGTGCCTCGAAAACCTTGTAGGAAGAAGCACAATGTGCTGTGTTGAGAAATGAAGCTCCTGCACTTCAAGAAATATAGTTATTTCTGCCATTCATGTGTGATTTGGAAAAGGGTACTACTAAAATATACATCCTTTCTGTTTTGAATGAAACACCAGCATGGAAGCACAACCAATTTTAGACCCTTTACAGCAGACTGATTTCCTTTTTCTTCCCCCCAGCTAAAGAGTTTCGGCAGAAATGTGGAAGGTAAGACCAGTTCCTGTTACTGAGGAAGTACATTTAAGATGTGTGCGTCTTCCTTTTACTGCAGCCCCTGAGAAGTGATGACTGTAGGCTCTGAGGCATGCAATTATGTAGTGACACTGGAATTTAGGACCAGGGGATGGGAGACTATAACATGTGAGCCACAAAAAAAAAGAGAAAAAAAAAGAAGCAAAAAAAGAAAAAAAAAAATTTACAAAAAGAAAAAAATACAAGTAGGGTTGATGGGATGTTTGGGGAATTGACTGTGCAGCTTTGAAGGCCAATATTAGCATTGTGAGTCAACTGCAGGAGAGGCTGTGGAAAGAGGTAAGGAGGTTAAAAGTAACATTGGAAGAAGCACAATGTGCTGTGTCGAGAAATGAAGCTCCTGCACTTCAAGAAATATAGTTATTTCTGCCATTCATGTGTGATTTGGAAAAGGGTACTACTAAAATATACATCCTTTCTGTTTCGAATGAAACACCAGCGTGGAAGCACAACCAATTTTAGACCCTTTACAGCAGACTGATTTCCTTTTTCTTCCCCCCAGCTAAAGAGTTTCGGCAGAAATGTGGAAGGTAAGACCAGTTCCTGTTACTGAGGAAGTACATTTAAGATGTGTGCGTCTTCCTTTTACTGCAGCCCCTGAGAAGTGATGACTGTAGGCTCTGAGGCATGCAATTATGTAGTGACACTGGAATTTAGGACCAGGGGATGGGAGACTATAACATGTGAGCCACAAAAAAAAAGAGAAAAAAAAAGAAGCAAAAAAAGAAAAAAAAAAATTTACAAAAAGAAAAAAAAAAGAAAAAAAAAAAGAAAAAAATTACAAAAAGAAAAAATACAAGTAGGGTTGATGGGATGTTTGGGGAATTGACTGTGCAGCTTTGAAGGCCAATATTAGCATTGTGAGTCAACTGCAGGAGAGGCTGTGGAAAGAGGTAAGGAGGTTAAAAGTAACATTGGCACCAGAAAGGAAGCAAATACACACAAATAGTAAAGTTCTCACTCTTTCCTGGGGGTTGGGTACACGTGTTGCTGTCCTGCCCCCTGCTCCCTCTTCAGAGAATGGCTTTCCACCAGAAAGTCACCTCCCTCTGCATGGGCTGTAGGTTCCTCCCCTCCATCCGTACACGTGTTGCTTTCCTGCCCCCTGCTCCCTCTTCAGAGAGTGACTTTCCACCAGAAAGTCACTTCCCTGTGCATGGGCTGTAGGTTCCTCCCTTCCATCTCTAGCCATGACTTGCACAGAGGTGTCTCCTAAGTCATGCTACTAAGGGACATTGAGGTCCACTCATGGAATTACTCCTAGGTGGAAATGAAAGGGTCAGCTCTCTCCGAAGTGGGTTGTGCACTCAGCTTTGTGATAAATATTGCTGTTGGATGTGCATTGTCCCATGTCTCATGGGGTTTGACAGCCAATGGCACATCTTGGCTGAATGGTTGTTGCTGATGGCCAGTTGAAGAGAAATTTAGCATGTCCCTTCCAACTCAAGCTTCCTTGAGGTCTTTCCCAATTGCAGTGACTGTCAGTTGGCTGGAAGATTGCACGGGGAGGTGTCTCCTTCAGAAAGTCCTGGCAGTAATTCAGGAGACTCTGACATCTCAACCCTGGCATTTCATCACAGGAGAGGGCACTCCAGCTGTAAAACACCAGTAATGCTAATGAGAAAAGAACTGGAAAGGGTTGTCCAAAAGGACTGTCACAAGTAGAGGAGACCCTGCCCCTAATGTTTTCTTCCCAAGCAGATTCTAAAAAAATCTTTCCTTGAGGAGAAAAGGAAGCCTTTAGATGGAGAGAGACCATCAATGAAAGGACAGGGCAGGCATTTCCCTACTGAAGTCTCTTCTGACTTTGGGTTTGTTGGTGACAGTGAGGACATAGACCTCACAGCCAGCCCAGGTCTCATTGCTGACCTCCCATGCTTTCCTCTTTCTGCAGGGTGAGTTTAACCCTGTCAACTCATTTTGGGACATTCCCTTCCACAATCCCCAAACATTCCTTGCAATAATACCATGAGTCTTGCTGTCCCTGGAAATAAATCAGGGCATCCCACATGAAGTAAGCTACCCTTTTTTTTTAAGTCAATCCCCATTTTATAGCTGAGGAAATGGATTAAGAGAAATTAAATCCAGCAGGTCAGCTCTGATTTGAGGTGCCTCCATTGTAGGAAGATTGTGAGAAAGTTGTTTACCTGCAGCATGTTAATTTTAGCCTTCTGGAGTGTGGACAACGTGGTCAGGCTTGGCCGATCAGAATTATTGGCTCTGTTGCATGTAGAGCAGAAGATGGCATAGACCCCAGAAGACCTGTCTCTAACTAGGAAGTTTTAACCAGTAGCTGGTCCTTCCTGCCACAGCTGTAGCTAATTGCACACGCCGAGGTGGCAGCACAAAGTGCTTAGTTTGCTTTCTTTGTGCTATAAAGAGGAATAAACATTGCACAATCAAACATGGCTGGTTAATTTTAGAGGTTAACTGAGTCATGGGTTTTTATGGCCAGAAGATGTGGCTCTGATTGCTCAGGCTGATCCCGGCGTAACACAGGTCTCTGGATTTCCCTGAAGCATTTACCTCTGCAAGTTCAACACCAGGGCGCTTGATCCAGGAAACTCTCTCCTGTGGAATGATTTATCTCTTGGCATGATTTACCCAAATACACAGTTCACCCTGGTGCCCGAGTCACTTGTCTGGGTGGTGAATCCCTCTTGCCATGGAAGACACGTGCCACCTTCCTGGCTCTGCATTCATTCCGTTTTTGCCTCTTGCAACAGACAGCTTCTTGCAGTAGCTTTGTGTGGCTGAAGATCCTTCTCCGACCAGTTCCCTGCTACATTTTTTTTCAGTATACAATTGATTTCCTGAAGTTTTTTGCTCTAAGACTTTAACATCTTACCCACTCCCACTGCATCTTTATTTACACCCTGTGGGCAGTGGACACCGACCACGATTCAATGGCTGTTTCAGTAGTTATTTCACAGGCTGCATTTCCTCCTGCCTGCAACTACGTGTCTGCAGTTGGTCTGTAGGTTGAGCTCTCTGACACGTGAAAACAAAACAACAGGTTGGTTGATTGCAACCAGCAGCTCAAGAGATGGTCTGGACTGAAGGTCGACCTTGGTGGGCCAGCCTGATCGGTACCAGTGACCTGAGGACTATGTCAACTCTGCAGACAGAGATTCTGTGGAGACTTTTCCAGAATCACACCGAAAATTAGAGGCAAAACTCATTAAAACGAGGGTGTCAGTTCAGAGCTCTGACCACAAGGCCTGAATTTCCTCCCAGAGTTCCCTTGCAAAGCAAAAGCTGCTGTTGCATTTGCAGTCGTCCAGATAAATGGACAAAACAATGGGTAAGATGCTGGTTGCCTTCAGCAGTGGCAGGAGAGATTTATCAGGTGAAGAATTAAATTCCAGCCTCAATATGCCTTTATCTGGGAAACACTAGGTTGGTTAATTGGCCTGTGTAGTAAGATGGAGACGCTGAAAAAGGTGTTGCTGCTTCTGAAAGATCTCCCCAGAGACTGGAGAAGTACGATTTTTCATTCCTGTGAGGTAAGCTCTAACACAACAACGTTTTTTAATTGGATGGATACACCACAAATTGCTTTGGAAGGGCGGGGGGAAAGGGAGCTGAAGTTATTTTGAGCTGCTTCTCGCAGACCTGTGCTATCGCTTTGAAAATCAGAAGCAACAGAGTGGTTTATGTGTTTGTTCGTTTGGTGGGGTTTTGTGTGCTTGTATTTTTTTAGTTTTTTTTTTGAAGAAGCAGATGTGAATAGAGATTATTTTTCACAGTGTTTATTTTAATGAGCTCTCTTTAGCCACGGACCGCGTGCAGCAAAGGCAGAGGTAAGTGGAGTGTGTTTTGGAGACCATGAGGGATGTTCTGACTGCTGATCTGAAGTTATCATTTGAGGTCAGAAGATAATTGAATAGCTATAATATATTAGAGTGTGCCATCTGTCAGGTTTAGTGGCAGGAGCAGTTTCAGGGGTGGTAGATTATTGGCCATGGCCACCTTATCTTCAGCAACTACCAGTCTCTTGATGAAAGCCTTTGCCTCAAGGTACAGCAAAGGGAAGGCAGAAGATCTGTTTGCTTGTAGTCTGTTGATACTGAAAGCAAAAACGGGCAAGATTCCAGGGATGCTTTAAATTGATGTAGCTAATTTGAAATAATTGATGGCCACGTGGATGTATACCCACTCAGAGCTCTCTCTAATCTTTTCCTGTACAGATACTGCCAACTATTTTGATCCTTTCGTGTTCATTCCTGGAAATAACACACTTCTCTTGCCTAACATCTGTTATGGCTAGTAATTGTGGGCGGATTCTGTTCCAAAGCACTAGAGGGCATCAGTAGTATATTACAAATAAATTTCTTTTCCAATCTGGACGATACGGGCACCACCAGGATGAGCCCTGGTTTCTCTTTCTAGCTCTCTTCTCCAACAGAGCTGGTAATCTTGTTCAATCACAATTCTAATTGCTAGGGCAAATGTTCAGCAAAGGGAAGGCAGAAGATCTGTTTGCTAGCAGCAAAAACAGGCAAGATTCCAGGGATGCTTTAAATTGATGTAGCTAATTTGAAATAATTGATGGCCACGTGGATGTATACCCACTCAGAGCTCTCTCTAATCTTTTCCTGTACAGATACTGCCAACTATTTTGATCCTTTCGTGTTCATTCCTGGAAATAACACACTTCTCTTGCCTAACATCTGTTATGGCTAGTAATTGTGGGCGGATTCTGTTCCAAAGCACTAGAGGGCATCAGTAGTATATTACAAATAAATTTCTTTTCCAATCTGGACGATACGGGCACCACCAGGATGAGCCCTGGTTTCTCTTTCTAGCTCTCTTCTCCAACAGAGCTGGTAATCTTGTTCAATCACAATTCTAATTGCTAGGGCAAATGTTATATCACTGATTTTTTTAAATTTTTCTTTCTTTTTTTTTTTTTTTCTGTAGTAAAGCAGGCTGCAAATACATGAGTCTGCCACTTGGGTATGGTGTGATGGCTCGTACTCAGTACCTCTGTCTTTGCACTAGACCACTTGCTGGGTTAAATACATGCTTAGGTGAAGCCATAGGATGAGGGGTAACGGTTTTAAACTGAAAGAGGGGAGATTTAGATTAGACACCAGGAAGAAATTCTTTCCTGTGAGAGTGGTGAGACAGTGGAACAGGTTGCCCAGAGAAGCTGTGGCTGCCCCATCCCTGGAGGGGTTCAAGGCCAGGCTGGATGGGGCTTGGAGCAACCTGGTCTGGTGGGAGGTGTCCCTGCCCAGGGCAGGGGGGTTGGAACTGGATGATCTTGAAGGCTCCTTCTGATCCAAACCATTCTATGACTATGATTGGGTGGAAGGGCATGAAGAAGCTCCCTCTGCACGCAAGTCACTGTACATAAGATGATCTTGTCTGAGGCTTTCTCGCTGTTCCTGCTGGCCACCTCCTGACTGATGGGCTCTCCTAGCAGCACTGTTAAAGGACAGCCCCTACTGAGATTGAGCAGGATGTCACGTGTCCATCTATTTGGTAATATCAGATAAGGCTGTTGCTTAGACACAGTCCCTACTTTTGGTTTTGTGTGCCAGGTTCTCTTAGCTGGTGACAAATCTATGGGTGATTCTGAACAGGGTGTTCACATCTCTGCTCTTGGTTTGGAGGAAATATCCTCTAATCCAACACTTTTGCTGCTCTTGAGATTTTGCAGTAGAAGACTAGATGCTCTTCAGGTTATTTGGCATTGCTCTCTGTAAAGTAGACATTTGAGAGCTTTGTTTTCTTTATTTTATACAAAATAAGGACAGATCTCTTTGAGGCAGGCAAGGCCAAAGCAGTAAGAGTTCAGTATTTTAGATGACAGACTAAAGTGTATGTGATTAGAGTTCCTAAACACAGTGTGGGTCTGCAGATAATTGCAGTCGGTAAAGCCTGCACTTACACCACAGTCAGCTAGAGCAGGAAAAGTCAAGCTGGATTAAGTCCTTTCAGCTTCAACAGATGACTTCACATCTCTACCATCATAACTAGCAACACTCTTTGGTTCAGTGGGTCCAGGGCCAAACCCTCGCTTTCTTAATTTAAGGGAAATATGTTTTCTTGGCTGGAAGAGGGTAGTGCAGCTAGATGATGTCAAGGCAAAAGGCTAGATAAGTTCAACTGAATTTAAATTAATAATAAACAAAGCAGAAACTGGAATGAAGACCTTAGATCATGGGGTTTTGGAATTACCCAAATCTTTCTCAAATCCAGAGAAAGTCTAGTTTTCTAGCTCTGATCCATCTCTTCCTGTCTATTTATCGCCAAGATTCAGGGCACAACATGGTCACTGCTTGGGAAAGAAGAAATCATCAAATTAGAAGGATCGGGATGTATCTGCTCATAGTTTTCAGTGCCTGCTTTGGAGGTGTCCTCTACTGCTCACCTCAGGGATTGCAGCCTGCGCTCAAAAGAGTTGATTTTGCTGTACAATCCACGCAGCAATTATCTGTGTTACTGAACAAATTTCCTATTTGTACATATGCAAGTGGTGGACAATGCTTGAAGAAATAGGAAATGATCTGTTTTTTAAATTTTTCTTTCTAATTGTTGAGTTGGAACCTAATATCCTAGTTTTAACATCTGGCTTATGGTAGATCTCTTTCCAGCTTCTCTGGTGAGCACAACTCAAACCGTACATCCAGCTGCTGACATAAGAGGGATTTGGCTTTGTACAGGGAAGAAGGAAAGAAAAGGAACTGGCAATGGGAGAAACCAGGAAGGATGTTCCATTCTGTCTATAAAACCCACGCTCAAGATGTAAGAAAGGGATGGAGCAGACACCCTGGTGGGACTTGTGAGCATCTTGTGGTAAGTCATGTCACTTTTATTTCTTGTGGAGGCAGTAAAATATGTATTTCTAGCTTAACCTCCCCGGTGATTTTATAGAAGAGATGAATTTGTCCCTGGCTTTGCTGACTTTCTTCCTCCTTTCTTTCCTGACGTGCTCCCTATGGGGTGAACTGCACTGGTTGGCTCACTGTTGTGTTTATTTGGTAACTGCAAGACAAAAGTCCTTGGGAAGAATGTCACAGCCAAGACTCCTTGGCAGGTTCAGATCCCATTTTAATTACATTTTAATTGCATTTGATGGTACAAGCTATGCTTTTCTCTCTTTTTAAACCTCCTAGCTGCAGATGGTTCATTAGTTACTAGTAGTGTATTCACCTACTCAGACTTATCTGCTACTAGATCTGTTTTGCAGGTCTTGCTCCTGAAGTTTCTTTTCCTTTCCTTAAAGAGCAGACTTTTGGTGAATTTCTTATTTCCCTTTTGCTTACTTGACTAGAAACAACATTTAGAAACAGAAAACCATGAGAAAAAAGCAATTAGTGCTCCCTCATGCTATCTGTTTCCAGATTATGAAATTAAGTTGCCTAGGAGAAAGTGGAAAGTGGGATTTGATGTGGTAAGAGATGTTCTGGAACTCTTGGCATCTTCTTTGACGCTCTCGGGGTCTTCACCCTTAGTGATGTTTTCTCATCCCAGACTGGGCTCGGGGTGACAACACACAGGAAACCATGATGGCTTGGGTTTCAAGCCTTACTTCTCAGAATTGATGACTGCATTTGCTCTCACATAGCTTATCTTTCACATGTGCCAAAACTTGTAGAAACTAATGTGTCACCTATGATGTTGTTGGCTTGCCTATGGCAGATAAGGATCTCCATCTGACCTTGTCGTATTGCCAAGTCAGAGCAGTGGCATGAGGACCAGTGCTAAAGATCGACCACGTAGGCCAGCAGTATATATGGTGGTTATGGTCTCCGGTGGGATATTCTCCAACCCTCAGGGATAACTGGATGCATATTGTTGCCCAGTGAACATGTAACTTGTGTGGAGTACAAGGGTGCAATACATTACTCAAAAACTGCACCACAAAATGTGTCCATCTTGGAAGCTTCCTGTCCTGTACATCCCTTGGGGGTGTGGGCAGAAGGAGTGTAAGAAGAGCCATCGGCCAAGCCTGAGCTTGGCTCCATCAGTGCCTGGCTGAAATAACAAATAATGGTCCTTCCTTAATAGCTTTTAGTTCAAAGAGTCAATGTACCTTACTTTGAAAGGTACAATGAAAGAGGTCATGGTACATTGAAAGGTACATTGGCAGAGGTCATGGAAGTTCACTCTCCATTTTCAATGAAAGCTATTTAAAAGGTCCGATGCTGGACCCTTTCAGCTGATGCCTGGATTAACTGAGTTCATTAAGAAACATTTAACCAACCCATTTGCACTCGTAAATCAAATATCCTTCTTGCCAACTCCTTGTGAAATAGCAGGTAGGCTTTGCAATGTGTCTGCTCAGATCTTATTTATACTTTGTCGTGCTTCCAGCAGCTGTATCATCTGAGCTACAGAGTACTGGCAGGATGTAGTGTGCTGTACTGTGCGTGGATCACTGGTGCTATTGGGACAATTCCTTCAGCAAACTCTATTAGAAACTCACATACAAAGAGGGTAGGGGTACATATTCAAAATTTAATATTTTTTTACTGACAATCTTGCTTTGAAATGTCAAATTTCACACCTCTTGAGAGATAAAAATAAATCATAGTTGATGTTCTGCTTTTCCACTATTCCAAATCACTTTAAGCCAAAGGATAGGGGTTACATTTTGTGTTTATGAGAGAAAATGCATTAGGCACCATCATTTCCAGAGAAGGTGATGTCTGCAGAAGATGATGGCCACTTTGAGCCACCTTCCACACTTAAGGGAGGCAGGGATGAGACCTGCAGCAGAATTGTCTTTACGTGGGCCTTGTTCCCCCAGTGGTCCCACATGTGAAACCTGTATTGGGGGAGGACTGGAAGAGCTTGTTACAAGCTTTGGCTGTGGGATGGGGCAAGAAAATCAAGACGTGACTCTGTAAAGCTGCCATAGAAGAGAATGTCACTGTCAAACATTAAATGAAACTCAAACACAATGATTAGCTTAGATAATCTTACTTCAGCATGAAACAAACGCACATTTTGCTTTAAGTGAACTCTGTCTTTGGTTCATTGAAAAGTTCATCTTGTAAGCCATTGGTGTTTGTGTTCTGCCAGGAAAGCACTGTCTGTTCATCTGCTTGTGAGGTCAGGCAAGTTCTTGTTCCTTGTGGGATGCAGATCATGAAAGGTCAAGCTGTGTCACTTCACTAGAGCATTTCATGGGTGGTTTCCACTGTGAGGAGTGGAAAAGGAGGCCCAGAAGCTCCACCTTGACCCTGCAAATTCTCCTTTTCCCTGTGTCACCACATGGCTGGTGTAGGCCCTCACAGAGGGAATGACTTTAGACCTTTGGCCAAGGCAACCACTCATCCTCCCTGTCTCATCTGTCTCTGTTGTTGTACCCTTGTCCTTGTAATCAATAATTAGGCAATTACTTCTACAGAGAAAGGTCCCTCCCAAGCAGTGCCCTCCACCCTGTCCTGGGCTCTCTGCACTTCTCTCTGACTTGTAAAATATTAAACATACTTCCCTCACTTTCTTCCATTTTCTTACCCAATTCTTCTTTCTAAAGTTATTCTACATTATTTATATATTTATGTTATTTGATGGTTGAACTAGATGATCTAAAAGGTGCCTTCCAACCTAGGCAATCATAGAATTGCCTATGATTCTACATTCCCTCTGGTACCATTTAGAGTCGGGAAAGGAGATTTACACTTTTACTGCACTTCCTCTTTTTTTGGCACGGTTAGGAGAAAAGCTTGACTGACAGATACTAACACCTGTAAATCTGAAGTTAAAATGCTGCTGGTTTATGGATTCTTCTTTGCATTAAAAAATGGAAGCGTGTCACCACATGGCTGGTGTAGGCCCTCACAGAGGGAATGACTTTAGACCTTTGGCCAAGGCAACCACTCATCCTCCCTGTCTCATCTGTCTCTGTTGTTGTACCCTTGTCCTTGTAATCAATAATTAGGCAATTACTTCTACAGAGAAAGGTCCCTCCCAAGCAGTGCCCTCCACCCTGTCCTGGGCTCTCTGCACTTCTCTCTGACTTGTAAAATATTAAACATACTTCCCTCACTTTCTTCCATTTTCTTACCCAATTCTTCTTTCTAAAGTTATTCTACATTATTTATATATTTATGTTATTTGATGGTTGAACTAGATGATCTAAAAGGTGCCTTCCAACCTAGGCAATCATAGAATTGCCTATGATTCTACATTCCCTCTGGTACCATTTAGAGTCGGGAAAGGAGATTTACACTTCTACTGCACTTCCTCTTTTTTTGGCACAGTTAGGAGAAAAGCTTGACTGACAGATACTAACACCTGCAAGCCTGAAGTTAAAATGCTACTGGTTTCTGGATTCTTTTTTGCATTAAAAAATGGAAGCCTCCCAAATGGTAAGAAAATGGTAAAAATCCCTCCATGGTAACTTGTCTGGAAGATGAGGCTGATGAGAAGAATAGCCAACAGTGTGTTCTCCCACAGACATGGCAGGTGTAGTGCGTTAGGGGTTTCTCATATGATATTGAGGAGATTGCCACAGCCTGACTTTCTACACAATCAACAGGGACGTGGTGGCACCACAGTAGAAGAATCCTCCTCCACCACCATCCTCCTGCTGGAACAGTCCAGTGCTGGCTGGGCCACTGCAGTGGGATCACTTCTTAGGTATGTTCTCTTCCTTTGATTTTCGACTTTAACTTCCCAAACCACTTGGAGCTTCTGTCTCTGGCAGGGCTGAAAAGCACAGTGAAGGCATACATTATACTGTTTGGCATTAGCATGAGTTACCTTTTTTTTCATATGTTAAATGCATGATTTCTCATCTGTTTTTCTTATCACTGCAGTTACTTGATATCACCAACTGTAGCTAAAGGCTTTGTTACTTGGTGCTTGCTGGATTTTTCTTGAATTTTAAATTGTCAGTTGGGGTATTTTTCCATCATCATTTTTCTTCATGATATACACTGTTTTCAGTACATATAAACTATCAGCAAGTTACATCACAGAATCACAGCACGGTAGGGGTTGGAAGGGACCTCTGGAGATCATCTAATCCAACCCCCTGCCAGAGCAGGGTCACCCAGAGCAGGTCCCACAGGAATGTGTCCAGGTAGGTTTGGAATGTCTCCAGAGAAGGAGACTCCACCACCTCTCTGGGCAGCCTCTTCCAGGGCTCTGCCACCCTCAAAGAAAAGAAGTTCCTCCTCATGTTGAGATGGAACTTCCTGTGTTCATGTTTGTGCCCGTCTCCTCTTTCCTATCCTTGGGCACCACTGAAAAAAGACTGGCCCCATCCTCCTGACACCCACCCTTTAAGTATTTATAGGTGTTGATCGGGTCCTCCCTCGATCTTCTCTTTTCCAGACTATAAAGATCCCAAGTCCCTCAGCCTTTCATCATGTGAGAGATGTTCTACTCCCCTCATCATCTTCGCAGCTCTATGTTTCCATTATTTTTTTGTCATGATAATATGCAACTTTTTTGAAGTTGCTGAATGCCTCTAGTTAAGGCCCAAGTTTCAGCAGGTCTATGTTCAGGTTCTTTTTGTACTGCAGGTTCCTGGCTCAGCCTTTGGAAAGGCAGGGTGGGCACTCTGCCCTGTGGTGATGACATCACAGTTGGGGACATCTGATAAAGTTGCCCCTTCACTTCTTTACCTCCCAGGGCATGGACCTTTCAGATGACCTGCTGTACACCATGGTGGTCCTGCAGCTGGTTCAGGAGGAGCTCCATTGCCCCTGGAGCCAACTGGGAGCTGCAGTCCCAGGAGCCCCACTAAGCTCAGCCGTTGTCTTTGTCTTCACTTCTGTGTCTCTCTTTATCATATATAGCGCCGGGACAGACTTCTCCCATTTTCTGTCTTTTTTTTT